TCCAGTACTTGCGTATGCTACGGAAAGAACTCTCATTGTCTATGAGCACAGCTACCATGTCAATATCATAAAGGTTTTTAGTTTGAAACAAAAAAATTATGTCAATTTATCAACTTTAACCAATTACAGAAGTTGCTGAATTCAGCTTTTATTTGGTGCTAAAAATATGCAGGCTGTCACATATACAGGGAATGTACTAGCATTATATATGAGTAAACCTCCTGGATTCAAGTATAAGAGTGGAATGTACCTTTTTGTTAAATGTCCAGATATATCAACCTTTGAATGGTAATTGAAGAAACACAAACTCTCTCACTGCAATGATCACATACAAATCTGGCCATCACTTTCTGCTAAGGAACTTTTGTTAATTTTTTACAGGCATCCATTCTCAATCACTTCTGCACCAGACGACAACTATTTAAGCGTCCATATACGTACATTGGGAGACTGGACTACAGAGCTCAAAAACAGATTTGAAAAGGTAATAAATTTTGCATATTTTACTCGTATTTTTTTTCTTATTCTTAGCTTTTGTTGATCTAAAAAGCTCTCCTTTACAGGCGTGTGAGCCTCAATCTGCACGATCAAGGAAAGGAAGTCTTGTTAGAATGGAAACTAAAGCATATTCAAATGTTGAACAGTCTCAATCCGAGTATGATTGCATGCTACCGTGTTCTATTGTTACGGCTTCTCATTTTGGAACTTATATTTCTAATTATCTTTTGTAGCAGATTTCCTAAAATAAGTATCAAAGGACCTTATGGTGCACCAGCTCAGAACTACAAGAAATACGATATCCTTCTACTTATTGGCTTGGGAATTGGAGCAACACCATTTATCAGCATTTTAAAGGACCTTCTAAACAATGAATCTGAATCTGTTAGTTCCTACTCCCAAAACCATATTTTGCTAAGAATGAGCAGAGATGTGCAATGAGAACATATATAGCTAAATCTCAATGTGGCAAATTAAATGGGCAGGTTTTGTCGGGTCAAAACAGGTCAAATCAATAAACAGATTTGAAAATGGATTGGGTCAAAATATGTCAAATCAACCTCTCCCTTTTTATTTTATTTTTTGACAAAATAAAGTGAAAGCTAATGAATTTGCGTAATTTCCAACATCCAAAGTTACGTTGATTTTGCATGATTGAGCCGATAGGTTATACTATTTGAACGATTTTGATCCAATAGTTTGATGGGTTATTTTGGGCCAAGTCAACAAACAAATTATAATCCAACCTATTTTAACTTGGAGGGGTTGAACATATTACTACTAAAAAATGGAATGATTTTGCTACTACTAACTAAATTTAACTAGTGCAGAATCAGCAAGTTGGTGAATCGTCCAGTAATAAGAGAGGTCCACACAGAGCATATTTCTACTGGGTGACAAGAGAACAAGGATCATTTGACTGGTTCAAGGGTGTAATGGATGACATTGCTGAATATGACCATAATGTGAGTTTTCTATAACATGAATTTCCTAGTAATTGAACTGATATACTTGTAATATACTTTGAATATTTGTAAATTTTTCCAGGAATTGATAGAAATGCACAACTACTTGACAAGTGTATATGAAGAAGGAGATGCTCGATCTGCACTTATTGCAATGGTGCAATCACTACAACATGCTAAAAATGGAGTTGATGTTGTTTCCGACAGTCGGGTATATATATATCCATGATTTTCATTCAAACATTATTGTAGTTTTTCAGTTAATTGTTTTTCACACTTTTCTATAACAGATAAGAACACATTTTGCAAGACCAAATTGGAAAAAGGTATTCTCTCGCTTGGCAGCAGCCCATCCATCCTCTAGAATTGGTAAGGCCCGTTAATTATTACTCCCTCCATTTCAGTTTGTTTGATAGATGGTCAAATTGACTAATTTTTTATGTGAAGTCGGACATAAATTCTTTAAGTTTTTTGAAATAAAATTTACATATTCAGAAACTACATTAACAATTCAAAATATTTAAAAATTGTTTGTAAAAAATATGGTCAAAGAAAAGCTTGTTTGACTCCCTTAATTAATATATAATAATAGGTTTATTCTTTTTGAAATAAAGGGAGTATTATTTCTTAAATACATATTGTTCCGTCTCTAGAAAGAAATCAAATTATGAGAGCATTCGGGTGAGTTTATAAGCTAAAATTTATAACTTATAAGAACTTTCCAACTTATAAGTTATATGGCGAGTACCAAAATTAGGTCATCCCAAACATATGATTTTATCAGCTTATAAATACTTTGGGGTTTGATCAAATATTTTACTATTTCATACCTGATGTTTTGTGATCCATGAAAACCCTTCCAGAATAAAAGCTTCTTACTCCTCCACTCCGTTTTCGTCCTTTTTCACATAATGATATTTTTTAATTTATTGTTTTGCTTATAAACAACTTATTTTAATTATTTTAACAGATATGCCCAACACACTAACTACTTATTCTTAGTTACCCACGCGATAGGTTAATTATCTTTTAATCTGTGATATATTGCAGGTGTGTTTTATTGCGGAAGTCCCACACTAACAAAACCACTTAGAAGGCTGTGTCAAGAATTTAGTTTAAATTCATCCACTCGCTTCAATTTCCACAAAGAAAATTTCTAGAAATAGTGGTTTCACATTTGAGACTTCACCGAAATTATGTGAATTAATAGAATTGTAAGATGTTGCTTGATGTATTCGGGTGTATATTTGGGAAAGTCGGACCTTCAGTTCTTTACGAGCTTACTTATCTTGCTTTTTATCTGTTTCAGACATAGCAATAATTCCAATTATTTATAGTTTTTGAAAGCTGTCTGGAGTTTCAGCAACATTTAAATCATCAATATTAATTGGAACAATGAAAATTCTTATTCAAATAAAAAAATAATATATGGACATATGTGGTAATTTCTATAACATTCTTTCAATAAACTAAATTAAATCTTCACTAAAACCATTGTAACGCATGCATTAAAATTGTTTCTTCATCGTATAGTTCACAATAAGGCCAATCATCTTATATTTATTGTATCCAAGATATTGCGTTTTCGTCTTATGTTAGGTCATTTAATTTAACCAGAGCAAGACTCCTAGGGGCGTACTACTGAAAATACATTTTTGTATAGATAACTGTCTTAGTAATGAATTGGAAAAACCTACCCACGGTGTTTACATCAAACTATATTAGTTTATGATAGTTTGTGATAAAATTGAAGCAAGAACGTATATTTATTAATTATAATTAAGTGATTAAAGTTTACGTATAAATATGAAATATGTTTATTGAGTTGATGTAATCATGAGTACAACTGTACAAGTAAGTTCTTGTCAGTTGCCATTAGTGGACCAGCGGCCAATCTCTGACGATTGGCTTTAATTTGAAGATGAAATGTACTAATTATTCATACTTAAATAACAACATTATATTAGTGGCCTATCATTTTTTATACTTGTACAAAGATTGCAATGTAATCCAACAAATATGAGAAGAAAAGATTAACATAACAAAAAGGCAAAAGAAATTAAAGGAAAAGCAGCTAAGACTAAGGGAGACATAGAAAAAATAAGAGTATACGAGAAATAAAAGATAAATATTTGCGATGTTTAGATTATTTCACATAATTTCCAAAACATAAATACTCCAATTTGAGATGCATATTCGAAGTGAAAGATAAGTTTTAAGAAAATCAGATTAAAAATTGACGGCTTTGCGTTAAGACAAATTGTGACTCTACTACCCTAGGAAAGATTCAAATATATTTGGAAATAAATGTGAAATATGGAGATAAACATGGTCCTAAAGTCAAATCTCGGCTGAAACAATTGGTTTAGTGGAAGACAAATTTACTAAATGACTTCATAATTTTCAGTCTTGCCTATTCCTTTCACGATTATATTATTTTCTTATTAATCCATTTAAAAAGATGATATGTTTTTATTTTTTAAAAAAGGATAATTTCACATTAATTTCCTTTGTGATTTATAGTATTATGCTTACATCCCTTAATTTAAATTTTTTATAGCAATTATTTTTATCTATTTTTCATTAATGTAAATACAGTTTGATAAATCTGTCATTTTATAATATTGGATTCATTTAATTAATTATTTCTATCATAATGTCATATTTAACAAATCCTTGAATTAAGTTAATTTATTTACCAGGTTTGCTCAAATTCTTTCAATTATTTCCTGGTATTTTGAAAGCAAAAGGTCCTAGTTTGTCTTGCAACCTACCTTTACCGGTTTTCCCCTAATTTTTATCTTGTAAAGTCAGATTATTATTATTTTTTTCTTCAAAAAAGGTCATTAATTTCTTGCTAGAACGACTTGTGTGTCAGTGTCAAAAGCAAACTTGTTTGGCGTGGATTCTCTTCACCCACAAGAAGAAGCTGCTCAGTGTCAGAGGCGCACAAATTTCATAGCATGCATGTTTCAGATCATAAGCTACAAAGTTTTTCTTTTAAAAAGCGCTAGGCACTGCCTCTAATGCCCTAGCTGTGCGCAGATGTGCAAAAGCAGAAGGATATAATAAATTTATGAATTTTCTACGATAAAACGTTTGTTTAGCTCGAAAGAGATTGTATATATTTTAGGTGAACAATTATGAAATGGAAGTATTACTACTATTTCTTTTACTCTTACCCTAGAAAGATCATAAGCCTTCTTACTTCTCCTCTACACATTAGAGCAACCTCACTCATGGGAGTCTTCCTCGAAACCAACAATCAGACGACTTTGAAAATAGATTTTAGGCGAAAATCGAATCGAATTAACCAATTAAGCATGCACACCCCTACGAACAAATATATCAAAAAGTTAGAACGGTAATTAAGATGCATATTTCTAACTCATAATTCAAACTACCACGCAATACACGAGTCAAATTAAAGTACTACACTCTTCAAACAATATACTATTCTACTACATACTAATTAGTGAAATAAAAGCAAATTAAAAAAGAAGATTTATAAGTGGTGCAGGGTTGCGTTCTTGTGTTCTAATCCTTGAAGCCAGTCGTTTCAACGGGGAAGAGCTCTAATGTTCTGAGAGGTACTTTGTTGCTGCAATGGACAATATTAGAAGAACCCTTGTCTCTCATCAACATCCAATCTCTACCGTTCATCCTCATCATCCGATTTTCCCAAAGGTAGTTCATCATATGAGGTGATGCTTCTGTTGTTGCTTCAACCTAGAGATAAAGACGATAGATGTCAGAATTAATTTGACTAGTTTTAACTGTGAAAGGTTATATTTGTTCTAGTAGTAACATTTATCCTAAAAGCTATACATGCGGTATATACCCTGTTGCTACAATGAGAACGACACACTTTCTTTTTCCTCTATTAGGTATTTATACTAAACCACATGAATTTACTACTGTTAATTGATAAACTAAGGTGAAAAGACATATCAAGTAACATTGGTTAAGTGATAAAAGTGCATGCCAAAGGCATATGCGTGCCATGCATTCATTGATTTGTTATAATCGTCAAGTGTGGATATATTGTGTTCCGATAAGAAGAGCACCTAAAAGTTATGCTACTCCTCCGTTTCAATTTATATGACGGTGTTTGACTCCATACAAAATTTAAGAAAGAAAGGAAGACGTTTGAAATTTATGATTTAAAATAAACTGTAGATATTTGTGTTCTTGTAGATCAATTCATTAGGGTAAGGTATGAGTTCTAAACATAAAATTTTTAAATAAGGAAAGGTGATATTGTTTTCCGGGACAGACCAAAAAGACGAAAAAAGAAAGAGTGCCACATAGATTGGACGGATGGAGTATTTAATTTGCATGTACGACCAGGGGCGAATGTAGAGTATCATCGATTGGTTCATGTAAACCTAATAATTTTTGCTCAAATCCTGTATATGTACTAAAAAATATATTAAATATTTTATAAATATTTATCTATAAACTCAATTATTATTGTAAGTGTAAAGACTAACTCAGATCTATCAGACAATCATTCCTACTATATGAAGACGAAAGCATACGTATGAAAGCGATCTCCCTCACTCATAAACCGCAACAAACAAAAGTGTACCTGATGAAGAAATATAGGTGGAGAGTGAGAATAAACTTGATTGACAGTAGTAGAAGAAGAAGAAGGAGAACGAGGGTTTTTGTCAACGTGATTGTTGTTGATGGTGAGTTGTCGAATATCATCTTTAGGGTATTTATGCAAAAGCTGTTTTTTCATCTTTTGCCTGTCTCTAGCTTTGTGGTTTTGAAACCAGTAAAACACATTCTTCCATTGAATCTTTCCATACATAGAAAGATGGGCCGTTATCATTTGTACTTCTGAAGAATTAGGATTTGTCAACCCTTTTCTGTACAAGTCTTGTAAGATCATCAGCTGTTGTGGAGTTGGTTTCCATCTAGTTCGAGGCATTTTGTGAGTAATATTAAAGATTCTTTACTAATACGTATCACCCTTTTAGGGTTTTCAAAGAGCAAACAGCTTTGCTTTTTTTTGTTTTTGGAGATGTTTCATTTAGGGTATAGTGATCTGTATACTATAAATAGATTGACAAAAATGAAGATGAAGACGTCAAAGTGGCACTGAAATAATAGTCATGCTGCTGTCATCATAAGGAGAGCCATTCAATGAGAATCCATCATTATTAGTGAATTCAGATAATATATTGGAGAAGTCATTTAAGAAGGTTGGTTGCTGATTTCTGCATTATCGTCCTTATTATTAACTCATTTGACAGAACGAATCACCGGAGTTTAGAGTGTAGGGTCCGAAACATTTCTTTTCATTTGCCCGTGACCCATTACAAGTTATCAATAAAGGTAAATGTACCTCCATTTAATATTTATTTCAAATCAAACAATTTATAATTATAACAGTTAAAATTTAAGTGATAAATATATCTATATATATAAAAGATGTAGTATGTGTTTTGCATTCATTCGTTTTGCGTAAGCACTAGGCACAAACATGGATGGAGCTAGAACATAGATTACGGGTTCGGCCGAACCCAATAGTTTTAATTCAAATCTTATATTTTATCTTAATAAATCTATTGAATATGTACAAATTATTTATTTAGATCACCGTAGCTTAAACGGATTAGAATTTTGAACACATAAATTTCAAATTCTGACTTCGCATCTGGACACAAATAAAATTTTTACCTTATAATACATGTATAAAACTCAAACATGCATTATACAATCGTCTATTCCGTAGTTCATACCCGAATAGAATTACTATAAGTTATACACTGTCTGGTATGTTTTATTCCATGTTCACAAAAATAATACATATACAAGTTATACTGAAATTATATATTATTTAAAACGGGATAAAATATGGAATAAGAATATGCGCATTACTGTATTAGTAATTCATGCTTAGTGTTTACTGTAAATCTTTATAGACAATTATTGTTGAGCCGATTCCTTCACTTCTGAACAACTGAACTTCAGTACTTATTCAATCACACCAATATTTCCCTAGTATTATTATTGCTTTGCTCAACTTTTGCATAACAAATTTTACATCCAGCCCCCTTCGGCAGCCAATTATTGAGGCGGCTCATTATTTCTGTAGTATTTGCTAACTGTAAATCAAAAGAAAAAGAGAGGAAAAAACTGCTCTCTTAAGGACAAATTACCTGGCTGTCATTACGTTATGCACCCAATTCGATTCAGTTACAACATGCATCGAATGAAACCTATTAAATACTCTGTTACACACTTACATTCTTTTATTACTGTTTCACCCGAAATAGGTTAAAATAAAAAATAAAAAAAATCCAAGGTACAATGAAAAATTAAAATACCCCAAAGAATAATTTACACACAAGTAAAAAATCAACAAAGGCTATATAGAAGAAATTTATCAAACTAGAGAGAGAACGGGGTAGGAGGGTTTTTCTTCACTCAAACTCTTAAATCTATCTACATAGCTTTCTCATAGCTACCTCTCCACAATAGAAAATATATAGTAGTGCCCCTATTTATAATTCTACAAAACCATATTTGATTAGAATCTAGAAAACCTATTCCTACATGATTTTGGTTGTGAATCCTAATTAGACATAAATTAAATAAACTAGTAAATACCAAATCCTAGACAACTTAGGAATACTAATTAATCTTGGTTTAGTTTCCAACAACCTCCCTTAAACCAAGATCTTCAAATTTGATCATGCTCAACATCTTCTTCAACTTGATAAATAACTCCAATTTTAGTGGCTTTGTGAAAACATCAGCAACTTACTCTCGAGTCTTGCAATACTCAATAATTATCTCCTTGTCTTGAACCAAGTCACGAATAAAGTAAAATTTTATATCAATGTGTTTGCTACGCCCATGAAAAACTGGATTATTTGTTAACTCAATTGCAGACCTCCTATCACAAAAAATTATTATAGGACTGTCTTTCTTGTGTTGAAGAAATTCAAGCATTCTTCTTAACCACAATGCTTGTGTAACACTACTTGTTGCAGCCATGTACTCTGCTTCAGCTATTGATAAAACAACAACTTTTTGCTTTTTGGAAGACCAAGAAAATATACCAGAACCCAAATAAAATGCATAGCCAGAAGTGCTTTTTCTTTGTATCGTATCACCAGCCCAATCACTATATGTAAATTCCATAAGACTACTATTATTAGTCTTTGAATAAAATATACCATTAGTCTGTGTACCTTGAATATATATTTCAAAATTCTCTTTGCTACTTGCAAGTGGGATTGTCGTGGAGTCTCCATAAATCTGCTAATTAATCCAACTCCATAAGTAATATCAGACCGTGTAGAAGTCAAGTACCTTAGACTCCCTACCAATTTTTTTAAAATATGTAGCATCAACAAAGTCACCAGTCCCATCTCTAACCAACTTCAATTTTGCTTCAACATGGGTCAAATTAGTTTGGCTTTATCCATATTAAATCTCTTTAGAATATCACCAGCATATTATTTTCTGAGAGATAAATATTCCATTATCTAATTGAGATACCTCATTGCCAAGAAAATAAGGCATTAAACCCAAATCAGTCATCTCAAATTGGCTACTCGTTGCCTCCCTAAGCCAAGAAATTAATTTAGGATTATTGCTAGTAAAAATTAAATCATCCACATATAAGCACACAATGAGAATATCTCTGCCAGACTTGAATTTGATATATAATGTATGCTCATATGGATATCTCTGAAATCCATTTCCAATAAAATAAGAATCAATACAAGTGTACCAAGCTCTAGTGGCTTGGTTCAATCCATATAATGCCTTCTTCAAACTATAAACTTTATTCTCTTAACCCCTTTTGACATAACTAGCAGGCTGCTCAACATACACTTCTTCTTCAAGTACACCATTTAAGAAAGTATATTTCACATCCATTTGAGAAATTTTCCAGCAATTATTGGCAGCAAGAGAAATTATCATACGAGCAGTATCAAGTCTAGCAATAGGTGCAATGTAATGACCCGACCGGTCGTTTTGAGTATTACAACCTCGTTTTCCTATTTACTGCTCAAATTGGGCTCTACAGTCGTTGTGTGACTTGTCGGGATAATTGGTTCGGGTCCGGTGAGGTTTTGGAAGGAATTGGAACACTTAGTTCCAAGGTTTAAAGCTTAAGTTAAAATAGTGACCGGATACAGACTTATGTGTAAACGACCTCGAATTCAAATTTTGATGATTCCAAATAGCTCCGTATGATGGTTTTGGACTTAGGAGTGTGTCCGAAAAATTATTTGGAGGTCCGTAGTGGAATTTGATTTGAATTGCCGAAAGTTGAATTTTTGGGAAGTTTGACCCGGGGTTGACTTTTTGATATCGAGGTTAGAATCTGATTCTGGAAATTGGAATAGGTCTGTAATGTGAAATGTGACTTGTGCGCAAAATTTGAAGTCATTCCGGATTGATTTGATGTGTTTCGGCACAAGAGGTAGAATTTGAAAGTTCAAAGTTTATTGATTTTGAATTGAGGAGTAATTCATCGTTTCGATGTTGTTAGGTGTGATTTGAGGCCTCGAGTAGGCTCGTGTTATGTTATGGGACTTGTTGATATAATTGGTTGAAGTCCCAGGGGCCTCGGGTGAGTTTCGAATGGTTAACGTATCAAATTTGGACATAAGGAAATGCTGGAACTGCTGCCTACTGGTGTGATCGCACCTGCGAAGATTTTGATCGCAGGTGCGAAGCCGTATGTGCGTGAAATAAGCTACAGAAGCGGCCAAGAGTGGGACTAAGCAGTGCTCGCAGGTGCGAGGAATTTGTCGCATCTGCGAGGCCGCAGGTGCGAAGGCGTTGGTGCAGATGCGGACTGGGACTGGCGTGAGACGACCGCAGGTGCGAAGGGGAATGCGCATCTGCGAAGCCCGCAGATGCGAGAATAGTGCCGCAAATGCGAGATTTTAGAGGGCCGTTTATTTTCTGCAGGCGTGCATTTTTGTCCGCAAATGCGGATGCGCAAGTGCGAGCCCAGGCACCGCAGGTGCGGAAATGCCTGGGCAGTGTTTAAAACGAGGGTTCCGAGATTTTTTTCTCATTTTGGACATTTTAGAGCTCGGTTTGAGCGATTTTGGAGAGGAAATTTTCCACACAACTTGGGATAAGTGTTCTTAACTCCCTTGTGATTATATTTCATGAATTAATCTTCATTTTTGGTATAAGATTACTGAATCTTCAAGAGAAATAGAAGAAAGTTTTTATAATGTCACAAAACGAATTTTTCAAGTTTGAATACCGATTTTGGAGTCGGATTTGAGTGAAATTAGTATGGTTGAACTTGTAATTGGATGAGTTATCGTATTTTGTGAGTTTCGTCGGATTTCGAGACGTGGACCCCACGGGTGATTTTTGGGGCGCAATTTCGGATTTTTGGAAAATATTAGTATTTTGATATGAAATTAATTCCTATAAATTGTGTGGACTGAATCAAATTAATTGTGATAGATTTGAACCATTCGAAAGTTGATACGCGCAGAATGGAATTTCTGGAGCATTATTTAGCTTGCTCGACATTGGATTTGGCTTGTTCGAGGTAAGTAACTCTTCTAATCTTGGAGTTGAAGGTATGAACCTTGAATATATGTATTTCGTAAATTGTTGGGAGGTGACGCACATGCTAGGTGACGGGCGTGTGGGCGTGCACTATAGAAATTGTGACATAATTGTTTATGTAGAATTTTGTAGTTAAATGATCTTGGCATTTTCCATGCGATTTTTATGAGTTAAAGAAATTGAACTGAAAGGCATATTAAAAATTATGTTGAGGCTATGTGCCAGTGTTATTGGGACCCACAGAGGTCATATTGTTGTGAAATATTTATTTTAAAATGAAAATTCATACTCAGTCATATTCATTTCATTGTATATCATATCTCAGTCTCTGTTATTATTTATTGATACATCATATCATTATTTTGG